TCTCTCGATCTCTCTCTCTCTCTCTCTCTCTCTCCTCTCTCTCTATCTCTCTTCTCTCTCTCTCTCTCTCTCTCTCTCCCCTCTCTCTTTCTCTCTCTCTCTCTTCTGTATCGTTGCCCTGGCGGACCGCCGCGAGCATCGGCATCGAAACGGAGGCGTTCGAAAGGGAGAGGGAGCTGCTGATTGGATTCACCTGGGGCGCCATCCGGGGCTTTGTGCGGCGAAAACGTCGATAGCTAGCCCGTCAAAGCCGATCCGCTTGGCACCATATTGAAACACGCGGTCCTTGGAAATCCGCCGAGGCGGGCAGAAGCGCTCAGCGCCGAACCGCCTTAAGCGGGTGTGAGAGGCAGTTACGGGGTAGCTTGCTCCGTCCGTTCTCCGAGCCGGCCGTTGTCGCGCCTGCCCCTGTCGCACCGACCGCTGTCGTGCCGGCTGCTGTCGTACGGCCGCTGTCGCACCGACCGCTGTCGTACCGACCGCTGTCGCGCCTGCCGCTGTCGCACCGGCCGCTGTCGCGCCGACCGGCTCCGTCAGCTATGCTTTAGTGTCTCTTACTGGGGAGAGAGGTGATGTCAGAGCGGGTGGGGTGACTGTGGGCGACGGCAGCCGGTGTCTGTCTGAGCCGGGCTGGTCTCCGTCTGGCCGGTGTGGGGACGGCACCGACGCCGGGCCGACAGAGACCACCCGGCGCCGCCCGCCCGTCGGCGGCCGGTCCCGGCGCAGCTGCACCTCCTGCGGCTCTGGCCGCGCTGGCAGACGACGGAGACGTGCGAGCGAGCGGCTTCAACTAACGCGGCTGTCCAGTGAGGCGTGCGTGGACGGAGGCGCGTACGATGCGCTCTGTCGTATCCAGGCCGACGGCTGGGTATGGCTGGAGGGGACTGGAACCCTGACGGGTCCGCTCCCCCGGCCGTGGGGCTGCCGATCGTGTCAGAGTGCTCCTGCCACCGACCCATCGGTCCCCGTGTCGTCTCTCCCTCCGTTGGTTATATGGCCGCGCAGTCGAAGCGCCCGAGAACCCATATTACTACCACTACTACTCTGTCCGATGGCAGTTGGAAGTTCAGCGTAGACTGGCGGCGGGCGGTGCCAGCCGGCCGGCGGGCTGGGTGGGATGGCCCTGCCGTGTGTCCTCATCCCGTCGGCTCTGCTCGCAGTGCAGGCCGGGCCGTGGCGTCGTGCCGTGCTCCCTGCAGTGCGTGAGAGCGTGACACGGGCTGAGGCATGCCGTCCGACGCCACCACGTCCGGCCGTGCACCTCGCGCCGCTGGGAAGCCTGTCTCGCCCGTCGGCCGCCGACGCTGGGCAGCTCGCGGCGGCCACTCTCGCCACACACTGCCCCCTCCCTGCCGGTCTTCACGACCCGGCCGCGCAGTCGGGACGAGCCGGCGGCCGCGGTCCGCGTCAGACGGCCGCTTGAGACGCGTGCCGTGGCCGCCGGGCTCGGCCGCGCAGGCCTGCGTCAGCGGTCCGTCCGGAGAGCCGACAGGCACGTCCGCCGCCGGACTCGGCCGGCCGACGTGGGCATCTGCCGCCCAGCTGGGGCACACGAGACCCACTGCCGTCCGGTCAGAGGCAGCTCTGGCCGGCCTGCCACGTCCGCCGCCGGACTCGGCCGGCCGACGTGGGCATCTGCCGCCCAGCTGGGGCACACGAGACCCACTGCCGTCCGGTCAGAGGCAGCTCTGGCCGCCCTGCCACGTCCGCCGTCTCCGTTGGAGGTCTCTCGAATTAGCCCACCCGGGTGGCTATGTGACCTTCAATTTCTATGTTCGCAGAGAGCTAATTTTGACAGGTGGAGAGACAAACCCCCGCGACGTACATTTAGGCCTAGTTCTGCAACCATTTTAAAGACTCTGTTCGAAGCTTGTTATTGAAGATTATTATTGAAGCTTGTTGGATTTCTTGGACCACAGCCCACGCCTAGCAGCGATTATTGCGCGAATCCTGATGCCACCATCCTATCGTGGAATTCCAGGTCAACGGAGAATTTTGTGGCGAAAGTTTGACATGCCGTAATGCTCGGCACGGTCCGTCTAGCGCCCTGACGTCACATGACCTTTAGCGCGCTGCCACCGGCCGCAACCGGCCGCCACCGCCACCGGCTGCCACCGGCCGCAAGCTATCCCAGCCAGGGGCAACTAGAGAGCGTGTAAAGCGACCCGAGCCCACCACGCCAAGATGAATCCGAAACAGATGTCCTGATCGAAGGAGCTGCAGGGGCGAACACCTGCCACATAGGAGTGGCGCCGGAGGTGGCGACCTCCTGACCTCTCCTTGCCCCGTCGTCGAAGGTACCCAGGCTATGAGCGCTGTAGTTGACGCGCCCCAAACCCCAAACATGTAATCCAGCACGTATTCCGTCCCAGGTAGAGAGCATGGCCGCGCCGTCGTACCTGCGTGTGCCACCAGCGTGTCTAACTGGGCGTGTCTGGCGTTGCAGGTGGAGATCCTGAGCCACTCGGGGCCACACCGCCGGCTCTGGATGGGGCCTCAGTTCTCGTTTCGGCCTTTCTCGGATGCGGGCGGGTGAGTGCACGCGGTGTCTCTCCAGTACCCCCCCCCCCCTCAGGCGGCGGACACTGACGGCCGCCTGCATCCCCACCCTGTGGCGCACGGCGATAGTCGTTCGACGTCTGTCCCCATTACCGCGCGTTGTATCCCCGTCTGAAAACTGCGACAAATATGCTAGGTATGCCTGCATTAAGCTGTGTTTTAAGCGTTATATTTTAAGGAGCTTTCTTTCGAACTTCGTTCGCTGCAATTTACTCCGGCATAGGCCACATTTTTTAAACTGGAGTTTGAATCGCCCTAAGTCTTCACACGTCATGTGAACATATCATCATTTACGTCCGTTGTGGGCCGTTTAGCCGAAGTCGGTTTTCCCGTTTGTGTTATTCGTGGTTTGATTCATACGTCTTTGTAAAAGTTGGCCCGCGTTTTCCGATCGCGCTCCTCCCGAGAAGACCGGCCGGCCGGCCGGTGGTCTCTGGCGCAGTGCCGAGTCAGGGACAGGCGCCGGCGTCGGCTGCGTCCAGTCTGGCCGTAAGTTCGGCCACGGATCCCGGGTCTTAGAGTCCATCATGCCTACATCCGGTCGATCGTGCCGGCTCATCGAGCCTCGGCGAACCCTCTCCCCCAGCCCGCCGGGCCCGGGGCTGCGACGGCCGGTCTCACCGCCGCTGGCAGACCCTCCCCCCAGCCCGCCGAGCCCGGGGCTGTGTCGGCCGGCCTCACCGCCGCCGGTAGACCCTCCCTCCCAGCCCGCCGAGCCCGGGGCTGCGATGGCCGGCTCACCGCCACCGGCACGGAATCCGATAAGCCCAGTCTTGAGGAGCAGGAACGCCGCGCAAATATTCTGGTCTCTCAAGTCACGTATCAATGCATCGAAAGCGGCTCAGCCGGCGAGATGGCTGGGCGCAGCGAGATCAGCGATGAGCAGAGCCGGGCCGGCAGCAGGCAGGACGGCCGCCAGTTGTCCGTCGCGCGTCACTGGCGTGCCCTGAGGCGGCGGGCGCCGGTCCGAACGCGCTCGGTCACCGGTCCGCCGTGTGACGGGACGCGGCGCCACGGCGTCAGGCACGACACGGCTGGCTCGGCCGCCGCGTGCTCAGCGTCCGCCGGCGCCGGCGGCGACGAGCCCTCCACCGTGCGGAGGGCGGCGCCGGTGAGCGGCGGCTCGGACCTCGCCTATCATTGAGCGGCTGTCAGCTGGGCCGGCCCTCGTCAGCGGCTAATGGCGCGGCGGCAATCAGCGTCGCATTAGGGCCGCCCGATCCGCCGCCACCGGCTGACCGGGCCGCCGACGCGCTGGTGCGGACTGGGACACGCGCTGGGGCGGACTGGGACACGCGCTTAGGTGGTCTGGGACACGTGCCGAAGCGGGCTGGGACACGTACCGAAGCGAAACGGGATACGCGCTGAGGGGACCGGTACACGTGCTGAAGCAGGCTGGGAAACGGGCTTAGGTGGATTAGGACACGTGCTGAGGCGGACTAGAACACTTGCTGGGGCGGACTGGGATATACGCTGAGGCGGACTGAAACACGTCCTGGGGCGGATTGGGACACATGCTGAGGCGGACCGTGACACGCCCTGAGTTGGACTGTGACACGCGCTGAGGCGGACTGGGACACTTGCTGGGGCGGACTGGGATATACGCTGAGGCGGACTGGGACACCCGCTGAGGCGGACTGGGACACCCGCTGAGGCAGACTGGGACACGCGCTGTGGCGGACTGGGAC